TCAGGTTAATTGAGGGTATGAAGAATTAGGTTACAGTGTTTGCGTTTGTTAGGTAAAATCCCTCTTCTAATTGTGTCCCAGCCCCAAGAGGTATGTCATACACCCTAACATTGTGCCCAGTAAGTAGGAGCACACCCCTCTCCTTCCCTACTCCCCTCTCCCCACTCCCTTGTTCCTCTGCCCCCACCTGAATTGGTTTGAGTTTTTCTCTTGCGTGGGTATGTATTAGATTGTCTACTGCAGGGGTCCTCAAACTTTTTAAACAGGGGTCAGTTCACTGTCCCTCAGACTGTTGGAGGGCTGGACTGTGGGCCCTGGGACGAGTCGGCTGCTAAGCAGGACAGGCAGTGGCAGCAAGAACACCCAGTGGGCCGGATAAATGTCCTGGGGCCGCAGTTTGAGGACACCTGGTCTACTGGCTTCATATTAGAATTAAGTACAATGGATGCTTGCTTCTCCATTCTTATGATACTTTATTAAGAAGAATATGTTCCAACTCTATCCAGGTTAATACAAAAGATGTAAAATCTCCATCTTTTTTAATGGCTGAATAGTATTCCATGGTGTACATATACCATAGCTTGTTAATCCATTCATAGGTTGGTGGGCATTTAGGTTGTTTCCACATTTTGGTGATTATAAATTGAGCTGCAGTAAACAGTCTAGTCCTAATGTCCTTATGATAAAATTATTTTTTTTCTTTTGAGTATTCCTAGTAATGGAATTGCAGGATCAAATGGGAGCTCTAATTTGAGACTAACTTCCTTTGTAGTCTCTCCAACAGTGTAGAGGTGTTCCCTTCTCTCCACATCCACTCCAGCATCTGCAACTTTGAGACTTTGTGACTGGTGTTAGGTGATAATTTGGGGTGGTTTTTATTTGCATTTCTCTGACAATCAGAGACGATGAGCATTTTTTCAAATGCTTGTTAGCCGTTTGCCTGTCTTCGTCAGAGAAGGTTCTGTTCATATCTCTTGCTGGGTGGTAGATGGGATTGTTTGCTCTTTTTTTGTTGATTAATTTGAGCTCTCTGTAGATTCTAGTTATCAACCCTTTGTCAGAGTCATACCCTGCAAATATCCTTTTCCCATTCTTAAGGTTGTCTTTTTGCTTTCCTTACTGTATCCTTAGCTGTGCAGAAGCTTTTCAGCTTAAGTCCAATTTGTTTATTTTTGTTGTTACAGTTTCCACTAAATTCTTTGTCATAAAATCTTTCCCTAGTCCAACATCATCAAGAATTTTTCCCATACTTTCTTCTAATATTTTTATCATTTCATGTCTTAGATTTAAATCTTTTATCCATCTTGAGTTAATTTTTGTAAGTGGTGAAAGGTGGAGGTCCGGTTTCAGGCTTTTACACGTGGTTATCTAGTTCTCCCAGCATCATTTATTGAATATCAGGGATTCTTTTCCCCAGTGTATGCTTTTGTTTGGTTTATCAAAGATCAGATGGCAACTAGAGACTGGTTTCATCTCTGGGTTTTCTGTTCTGTTCTATAAGTCTCTATGTTTTGATTCTATGCTGTTTTGATTACTGTGGACTTGTAATATACCTTGGAGTCTGGTACAGTGATGCCTCTGGATTTGTTTTATTACTAAGAATTGTCTTGGCTATAGGGGTCTTTTCCTAAAGTACTATTTTTTCTAGTTCTTCAAAGTATGATGTTGGTATTTTTTTTTTTTTTTGAGACAGTTTCACTTTGTTGCTCTCTGTAGAGAATTGTGGCATCATAGCTCACAGCAACCTCAAACTCTATGGCTCAAACAATTCTCTTGCCTCAGCCTCCTGAGTAGCTAGGACTATAGGTGTCTGCCACAACGCCCTGCTATTTTTAAAGGTGGGGTCTTGCTCTGGCTCAGGCCAGTCTAGAACCTGTGAGGTCAGGCAGTCCACCTGCCTTGGCCTCCCAGAGTGCTGGGATTATAGGCATGAGCCACCACACCTGGCCTAGAATAGTCTTTTTTTTTTTTTTTTTTGAGACAGAGTCTCACTCAGTCACCCTGGGATTGAATGCTATGGTGTCATAGCTCACAGCAGCTTCAAACTCTTGGGCACAAGCAGTCAGTCCTCTTGCCTCAGCCTCCCAAGTAGCTGGGATTACAGGGGCCTGCCACAATACCTGGCTATTTTTAGAGATGTGGTGTGGCTACTTTTTAGAGACAGGGTCTTGCTCTTGCTCAGCTTGATCTTGAACTCCTGAGTGCAAGCAAACCATACCCACCTCTGCCTCCCAGAGTGCTAGGATTACAGGTGTGAGCCACCACGCCCAGCCTTTAGAATAGACATTTTAACATTTTTGATTCTTCCCAGCCAAGAACATGGTATGTCCTTTCATTTATTAATGTATTTTTTTTTTTTTTTTTTACTGAGACAGAGTCTCACTTTGTCACCCTTGGTAGAATGCTATGGCATCTTAGCTCATAGCAACCTCCAACTCTTGGGCACAAGCGATTCTCTTGCCTCTGCCTCCCAAGTAGCTGGGACTACAGGTGCCTGCCACCTCCCTGTCTATTGTTTTTTTCCTATTCTTTTCTTTCTTTCTTTTCTTTTTTTTTTTGTAGAGACAGAGTCTCACTTTATCACCCTCAGTAGAGTGCTGTGGTATCACACAGCTCACAGCAACTTCCAACTCCTGGGCTTAAGTGATTCTCTTGCCTCAGCCTCCTGAGTAGCTGGGACTACAGGCGCCGGCCACAATGCCCGGCTATTTTTTTTGCAGTTTGGCCAAGGCTGGATTTGAACTCACCACCCCTGGGGCCGGCGCCCTACCCACTGAGCCATAGGCGCTGCCCATTTTCTTTTTTTGTTTAGCAGGCCTGGACCGGGTTCAAACCCACCAGCCCTGGAGCATGTGGCCAGTGCCCTAGTGACTGAGATACAGGCACCCAGCCCATTTATCAATGTCTTTTGCTATTTCTTAGGGTGTCATAATTCTCTTTCTAAAGCTCCTTCACCTCTTTTGTTAGGTATATTTCTTCTTTTTTTTTGAGACAGAGCCTCAAGCTGTTACCCTGGTTGAGTGCTGTGGGATCACAGCTCACAGCAACCCCCAACACCTGGGCTCAAGCGATTTTCCTGCCTCTGCCTCCCCAAGTAGCTGGAACTACAGGCACCCGCCACAACACCTGGCTATTTTTTGGTTGCACCTGTCGTTTGGCGGGCCTGGGCTGGATTCGAATTCACCACCTCAGGCGAATGTGGCTGGCACCGTAGCCATAGGCGCTGAGCCAGTGTTAGGTATATTTCTAAGTATTTCATTTTCTTGGAAGCTACTGTGAAGGGAGTTGTGTCTTTGATTTGCTTCTGGATTTGGCTGTTATTGGCTTATACAAAGGCTACTGATTTGTGGACATTGATTTTATACCCTGAGACATTATTGTATTTCTTGATCACTTCCAGGAGTCTTGTGTTTGAGTGTCTGGGATTTTGTGAGTATAAGATCATATTGTTGGCAAAGAAGAAGAGTTTGACCTCTTCTACCCCCATTTGGATGCCCTTTATATCCTTCTCTTACCTGATTGCATTGACTATAATAGTGGTGATAGAGGACATCCTAGTCTGGTTCCATTTCTAAATGGAAAACCTTTCAGTTTTATTCGATTTAGCATGATGTTAGCAGTGGATTTTTCATAGATGGCTGCAATTAGTTTAAGAAATGTGCTGCCTATGCCTATTTTCTTAAGTGTTCTTATTAGAAATCTTTTTTTTTTTTTTTTAAAAGAAATAGTCTCACTTTGTTGCCCAGCCTGGAGTATAATGGGGTCGTCATAGCTCACTGTAACCTTAATTCCTCTTGCCTCAATTTCCCAAGTAGTTAGCACTATGGGCACATGCTACCATGCCTGACTTAACTTCGTTATATTTTTATAGAGATGGGGTTGTTTGGGCTCAGGACTACAGGGCTCAAGCAATTCTCCTTCCTCAGCCTCCTCTTTAAAGGGCTGAAATTATAAATGTGAGGCCCTTGCTTCTGGCCTTTTTTTATTAAAACATTTGTATCTTTTCTTTTCTTTCTTTCTTTTTTTTTTTTTAATTTGAGACAGAACCTCAAGCTGTTGCCCTGGGTAGAGTGCCATGGTGTCACAGCTCATAGCAACTTTCAACTCTTGGGCTTAAGTGATTCTCTTGCTTCAGCCTCCCAAGTAGCTGGAACTACAGGCACCCGCCACAATGCTTGGCTATTTTTTGGTTGTAGTTGTCATTGTTGTTTGGCAAGCCCAGGTTGGATTTGAACCTGCCAGCTCTGGTGTATGTGGCTGGCGCCTTAGCTGCTTGAGCTACAGGCACCAAGCCAAACATTTCTATCTTTTGTTGCCTACAAACTATTAATTTATTGGTTGCCTAAGTTAATTTTTATGAGCCTAAATTTTCCCATTTGTAATTTGCTAGTGATGAATTATGTCAGTGGTTTACAAACTGCTGCTGGGGCTTTTTTTAAAGCGAAAGGTAAGAGGAGCAGATGACAGTGGACCCATACTTATTAGCACCTTGAGTATTTGGGTTTTCTCACCCCCTATGGGAGCTCTGGAATCCTAAAGGTTCAGTAAAGCACAAGGTGGCCAGACCAGAGACTATCCAGACATTTCTTAGCTCTAAAAGAACCATAATTAGAAGTAAGAATTGAGGCTCGGCGCCTATAGCTCAACCAGCTAAGGCGCCAGCCACGTACACCTAAGGTGGCGGGTTCGAATCCCCAGCCCGGACCCGCCAAACAACAATGA